CCCTGCTAAAAGATGATGATTTGAAATCTCTTAACCACAAAACCATAGATGGAACTTTTCAGTGCAAAAACTGTGGCAAACAGTTTTTTAATCACCGCGTTCTGCAGCGCCACCAGATGTTTAATCCACCATGTCAAAGCAAAGCTGTACCAGAGCCAGATTTGAGCAGCAACGAACCAGGCAAGACATTTGTGCAAGATTCACTTCCAGCCAAGAACAGTAAAACTTTAGAGACGGGAAACGAGGCGTTTGACCAGGCTCCAGAACAAGTCAAAATAAATTGCACTGAGAGTGATGCCGTATTACTGGCACTAAAGCCAAAACCTCACCAGTGTCCTCTCTGCTCGATGACCTTTACTAAAGCAAGAGGACTACGTGCTCACAAATGGCAGGCCCACGCAAAGAGCACAAAAGGCAAACGCAAAGCTGCTTTGCGCAGAAAAAAAGAGCCTGTTGCCTCAAGTAGTGAGATGAGGAAAACTGGAGATTCATCAGCAGCAGATAACACCAGTGTGATGTTAAAAAGTAGCACAGTTGACAGAGATTGGATGAAAATCACATTGGATTCTCCTGTGAAATTGTGTCCAGACTCCAGGGAATGGGGCATTTCTGAAGGCCCCCCCAACTTTAAGAGAGTTTACCTGGATGTGAAGCAGGAGTCGAAACTGGATAATCAAACTCCTAGAGCTGCAGCTGAGGTTCCTCCACAAGTCAGCTGTGTATCGGAGAACACAGCCAAATGCTTCTTCAAGTGTGATAAGTGTGGGAAAGCTTTCCAAACGGAGGAACAATTAGGGACCCATAAGGCAAAGGCACAGAGTCGGCCTTACTCCTGTGCTCTGTGCTGCCAAGGCTTTTGGACTGAGAATCAGCTACATCAGCACCTTGCTTGGCACGACGAAGTCCGCTGCCGTCTGCCGAATGAGGTACGCTATAGACTGAGTGCTGCTATGACCTCAAAGCCTCTAAAACCCAATCCCCCCACTGCTGACAACAGAGAAAAGTTTTTCCCATCTTCTAAAGTGATTCGGCCTACGCTCAACTCAGCGGGCCAGTCACAAAGTAGCCATAAGTGCCAACACTGTGGCAAAGCCTTTCTTTCACCGACTGAATTACAGAAACACAAAACGGAGCAGTGCAGCAGCAGTGACTCATACCATTGCTCCGTTTGCCCCAGGACCTTCCGTGAAATCCAAGACCTCATTGAGCATCACCAGGAATGTATCAGCGATTACAAAAGACAAAGCGACGCTCCTGCTGCTGTCTCTGCAGGAGATTCCAATGGCCTTACCTGCCTTGAATGTGGAACTACTTTTTGTCAAGAAACTGATTTGCACCAGCATTATATTGAACACACCCACAGAGTGAATTAAAGCAAAGAAACCTGAAAAGACCTGAAACAATGACTCTGTACATAGATGCTGGCTTTTCTGAAACTTCTAAAAATCTTTGTTAGAAAATTTCTTTTTTGCACCTTTTACTTTGGCTAAATAGTTCCTAATTTGTTCGTATAGTTTTTGAGATTCGTTGTACTTAAACATGTAACACTGGACTAGTATATGCTGAGCAGAACTGGCAGGTAAAATCGGTAACAGAGATCACTCTATCCCGTTATTAAGTTGATGTTAGTTCTATTTTGACCTGCACCACAAATCAAGACCAAGCAACCAGACAGCACCAGAAAGAGCTGCACTGTGCAAGAGTTAAGTTTAATGATCTGACTGGTAGTGGTACAAATGTGAAAATACACAGTGTTGTTTTTTGGGGGGGGAGCACTGATGTCATAGATCTCATATTTTTTTGCTGTTTTAAATTGACCTGTTGTGAATGTAAATTGAACTTGATTAATTTCTTTGGGGACCACTGTCTTTCATTTTCAGATAAATTTATGCATGTAAATTGCCCAGAGAAATGAAAAATGCTGTTGACACACTACTTGCAAAGTGTAGAAAGACATGCTAAACAATGTTGCGCCACACGCATGTGCTAATTTTGCTGCTGTTTTTGTTAAGAACTGATGTTTTGTTGAAGGATGATTGACGTTTTGCATATTTTACAGAAAGATAAAGAACCTGAAGTTCAGCAATGCGTACTCTTTACATAACCTGGTAGGAAAAACAAAATTCTTGTCTAACATCAATTGGTCACTTCCATTATTATAAACTATACTACGTTCATTGTATGCTTTGTACAATGCATTACGCATTAACTGATTTATAAGCTCCTCTGTTGATTCTCTATTGTGTGATAAAAATATTCATTACTTAAAGTAGCAGTTATGTTCTTGTAGTATAGTTCTAAGTAGTTTGCTATATTTATTTGTTTTTTATTCCTAGAAGTCAAAGAAGTTGAAAATAAACGAACTTGTTTTTGCCATGATTAATTGTAGTTGTGTGATTAATTCAGTCAGTCTGCATATTCTAGTCATGTCTGGGTTGTTAAGCATATTTCTATCAATTTAGCTAAAAATAAAAACAAGCATGCTCAGGGTGCTCAGAGATGTTTGAGGCACTGGATTTTACTGCACATTCATTTCTCTTTGCAAGAACCAACAGTGGTCACTCATCATGCTCTGACTCAATTTTCCCTGATATCAGTTTTTCATCACTTTCATATTTTGGTTAAATCTTTAGCGGCACTTATCGCTGACATCACACAGATCTGGTGGAGAAAATGTAGAAAGTGCATCTTCAGTGACATTCTGGCACTCATTATCTGATATACTTTCAGCATGTTTATCCACAAGCTCAGCACTATTAACAGCTATGTGACTGCCAAGAAACAACATGCTTGAATGCTGCTGATTCAGCTGGTTTACTTTTCCTTTTGAACTCATCATGAAGCATCAGTTCATGTTCATCAGGACCAAGAAAATCACCTTTAGTGCACTGATGTCTTAAACACTGAGATGCATCTCCATTTCTGTCCAGTCCTGTTATCCAGTGAATCAGTGGAACATCACAGCGACTAAAAACGTGAAGCTAGAAGAAAACAGCTCTCATATTTGGAGTCAGTAAGTGAAATTAGTCGAAGTACAGGTGAAAGAATCCCAGGAACAAAATGTTTGTTGATCAGTGCTACAGCAGGAACTGCAAACATCTTTAAATTGGAGGAAGCTGGACCGATATCACTGCAGAGCCTTAACTAATATGATCAACAACACATGCTTTTACTTTGTACACTGTTTTAGTAGCAAACTTTTAGTTTGCTCCTTTGACACATCAAGGTGTTCTATTTAATACATGCTAGATATGAAATGTAGTAATGCGAGAGCAATTTATGTCACCCGCATATTGGCATATTCATAATCTAAGTAATCGTGAAATGGGAAACAACAATATTAAATGCAACTCCGGTGTCGTCTTTAAGAAAAAAAACACAAAAAACAATTTTGGTGGCAAATAGTTTAAATCCCAGATATAGTGTCAGTATATTGTTATTAAAAAATATTGAAATGGCAACGTGACTCTCAAAAACCTAATGTGTAGGCTTAAATCAGATTTCTTATCTAAAATCAGTGTAAAAAAATTCTCAGTGGCAAACAAGAAAATATTTGAATACATCAGTGTAATCAGGAGGTGCTAAAAGATGTCTTTACTGTCAGTGCTTGGAAATCAGTATTTTTATGCCTAATGTTAGGTTGTTTTTTTGTTTGTTTTTTTAATTTCCTATTTAAGTTTGAGTTTTGGTTTTGGGTTTTTTTTTGTTTTTGTTTTATTTGCACATTTTTTGCTGATGTGATCACTTTCTAATGCCTGCTGAAACATAGAATAATTTATCTCAAACTGTCAAAATAAAATATTACTCAGACTTTCCATGTAAAACACAGGCTGCCATAATAATCTACATGGTAATTAAAAATTTCTCTTGTTGCTCTTTGCAGATAAAGAACTCAGTGTTGAATGTAAGGACTGTGGGCTGAAGTTCGCACAGCAGGAGCTCTACGAGACTCACCTGCACCAGCACGCCGTGGAAGACGAGGAAACTCCGAT